ATTTTCGTAAACATGCATTTCGAGCTGTGTCCATTCTCGTAAATATGCATTTTGAGCTGTGTCCATTTTCCTAAACACGCATTTCGAGCTGTGTCCATTATCGTAAATTACGCATTTCGAGCTGTGTCCATTATCGTAAACACGCATTTCGAGCTGTGTCCATTTTCGTAAACATGCATTTCGAGCCAAGCTGTTACCAGATTTAAAAACTCACCGATGATTTGCTTTGCATTAATTTGAATAAGATTTAGAGTAATTGCTCATCTAATCGAGAATTCCTAGTCAATATTTTGTTATTTTTGAGTTTTAACTAAATTTTCTCAAAAAAATTTAAATTATACAGTTATGAAATTAGTGCATTAAGTGCAAATTTTACCCATTGATATAAATAAAATATAAAAACGTATTAAAAATCTTGAAGAAAAATGGAGGAAAGATACTTTAAATTATCTATAAAAAAATATTTATTACGATATTCTTTGGAACATGTTTCTTAAATTATAAGTTTAAAAAAAAACTGAATTCTTAAAATAATTTTTTAATTTATATTAATTTTATAAGCGTTCTTGAAAGTTAAAGCTAAAATTGTTCTGTAAATTCATAGAAATAATTTTTGAAAGCAATAAATTAATCAGTAGATTTCTAGCAACCATTTTCGAAATTAAAATCTCAAATTATTTTTCATAATAAACTGCTATCATTTAAAAGTGAAATGTAAACAACTTTTATGTTTTATTTCGGATTAACTTTCCTCATTGCTTTTTTTAATATTGTGTTTTCTACGAAACAATTTGTTATATGATAAATACTTTCTTGAGGTTTTTTTTCTTCCTATTAACTGGGATTTTAGCATCTCATTTCCTGAATCTTTATTTAAATACAAACATTAAAAAAGAAAAAAAAAATTCTGTGAACTTTAATGTTACGGTGACATCATTAAAATTAATAATGGATTAAAAAAGCGAATATGAAATTCTTTGCAACAATAACTTCGGAAAATAAAATTCTATCTTTAAAACAAGCATAAAGAGAGGATAGTTTATAAATTCAAAAATAATTATTGATAGGTTTAGAAGCCTCTTGATTTGTTCCGTATTATTAATTCTTTTTTTTCGCAGTGGTTCCCAAAAGATATTTCGTAGAACCCTATGGTTCTACGTAAAGCCCACTAAGGTTCCAAAAGTTAAAAATAAACATTTAATTTTTTTCCACCAGCAATGATTTTTGAAACTTATTAATATATATTTAAATAATAAAAATAAATCCTAGAATAAAGAATTAAATTTCTCTGGTAACCATTTTCTAGGTTTTTAATAGTCCCTGCTCGAAAACCATAATTCAGCAATAGTTAATTCATTTTCGGTACACTCCAAGAACACACTTAGATGCCGCAATGGAACTGTAACTTTAACTACATATATGACATAAAAACTTAATTTTAATAGAATTATTTATAAATTGGTGAAAATATTTCATTCTTCACAATAGATAATTTCAAAATAATTAATAATAATTTCAAAATAATAATTAGTTGAGAATATTAACAGCTGCAATTTATCTTTATTTACAAAGTTGCGGTTCCGCGAAAACGAAATAAATTTCAAACCGGTGGTTTGTATAAAAGGCAATACTCTACGGCATTTTGTTTTAACAACTGAATTTCTTGGTTTATAAGCGTTGAGAGTGAAACCCTATGTTTAATCAGCTGGCCTCATCTTCCTCTTGACGAGCGACCGTTGCTCTTACTGATTCTCTTTTTTTTATTTTTATTTCCCTCCCTTATTAATGACCTTACTTGTTGCTCTTTAGATCCCTTTGTGATTGCGGTTATCGCTAAACACCATACGCTCATTTTTTCTTCTTTTTAGTTGCAATTTAATTGCGATCACTACACTACATTCATTGCGTTAGTGTGAAGGGGGAAAAAAAACTTTTTAGTTGTTAGATATTGAATAAGATGTATGCGCACGTTATGCATTTATTAGCTCTACTTCAAAAAGCTATTGAAAATATTTTTTTGGCGGAGTAGGATACAATCGTTGTTTTTCTCATTAATGTTCTCAATGACCGAAATGTTCAGATTCAGATGTTTTGAGACAGTGGCGAAAAGAAAAAGCTGCCCTTGATAAACTTGACTAAATCCGTTTTTTTTTTTTTTTTTTTTAAATCGTCATACATATCTTAAATGCTTTTCTTTCTGAATTATTTCACATCTGAGATAATTGATATAAATCAAATGGACTAAGTTTTTTTAAAAATTTATTTTGATCGAAGTTTAATTTTTTTAAAAACTTAATTTGCTCCTTTGTGTGAATGTTTGCAATTTCATGTATTTTAATTACTTTAAAAACTATGATTATTTAGAATAAAGTGTTACAATACCCAAAATTAAATTTAAATTAAAGAAGTTAATATATGTTTTTTTACTTTTATAAAGTATCGTTAACGTTTCAATTTTTTCTATTTCTATTTTATGCTTTAATCATATTTTACGCTTTATGAAAGAGTTATTAAGTTGCAACGCTAACACCGGTTTCAGTGGCGATCGAGATTTCATGGGCTTGTCTGCCAATACACTGGTATAAAAAATTAAGAGAATTTGCAGACTTGGTCGATTATCTCTAGAACTACGAGACCGATTTTTATGAAATTTTATATGTACATACATTGTTACAATACAATACAAATAACCATTCGGCAATTGTAATACACATGCCTGATCGTGCGAAACGCTCGTTGGAGTTGGAAGGTATGAAATTGTCACAGGAAATGATAAACTGCCTTATTTCAAGTATGAAATCACGCTGCAAGGCGCGAGGGGACCACTACATGAGGGTACCCCCTATTTACCCATTTTTTTGTTTGTTTATTCTGCTACTGCTGTTTCATACCTTCCGTCTCCAACGTGTACATATCAAATTTCATTAAAATCGGTCCAGTAGTTCTAGAGATAATCGACCAAGTTTGCCAATTCTCTTAATTTCTTACACCATTGCATTTGAGGCAATGAAACTAAATACGTTATAAACGTTAATACATTAAAAACAAAATTGGTCGACAGATTTTAATTTCTTCTTCTTTCAAGACACAACTGCCTGTTACAGGCCAAGGCCGTCCCAGATTTTAATTTCAGAGAAATAATTTAAAATTGCTTTAACAATGTTTCGAGAGAATGTTTCAATGTTCAGAGAAATAATTTAAAATTGCTTTTACAATTAAAATAAATACAGTAGAGTCCCGATTATCCGAGTTAATGGGGACCGCAAGAAACTCGGATAACTGAGAAACTCGGTTAAAGCGAAGAGTATAAAAACGGAAAGAAAAAGAGAAGGTATAAATGTAATATATTTAAGAAATACAAAATGTATACGAGTATACCACATACAATTCATATTATAATTGAAAAGCTTACTTAAAAACATTTAAAACGCATACTTTACGAGAATTAAAAAGTTTTTACTTAAAAAAAGTCCTTAATCGTTTTTTGTTCTACGTAACTTTGGCGCTTTTCTGTAGTTATGTTTCGCCTTTTTTAGGGATAACAGGAAGGCTGGGGTCGCCTCTTTTTGTTGTTCTATATATTCAATAGTACATTCGATAGCTTTTACTCCATCTGTATGAGAGATTTTTATATGTTGATTTTAATAATCACTGTCTTCATCATCTTCGCTAGATTCATTATCATTATTGACGATATTAACGATAATTTCATCAGACCAAGTTGTTGGATTTTGTTTTTCTGAGTGTTTGGAAGACAAAAATCAAATTTATTTTTTAGCGGTTTTTTTTAAAAAATAAACTAGAACAAAAAAAATCCTTGAAATATTTGATAGCTCGGTTAAAGCGGAAACTCGGATAACCGGGTCTCGGATAATCGGGACTCTACTGTACCTATAAAAATCGGTGAAAATTATTTATTAAAACCTAAAAATTCACTTTTATTGTACAGCAAATTATGATTTTAATGATAATGCTTCAAACTCAAACCTGCGGTCCTTAAGTACTCTCCTCATAGTTAGAGGTGAAAAGTTTCTGTACCCTATCTCGTCGGGTTTTGTTGGAAGGAGTAAATGAAGGGGAGAAACTTATATATTATTTCGACTTATAGGTTCGACTTGTAGTGGATTTCGACTCTTGCCTAAGTGGATTTCGACTTTTAGATTTTTACGTTAAGTCGAGAGAAAGCAATCTCGACACAATAAGATTGTAAGTTGTAAGGGTTTCATGCATAAAAAGTACAATCAGTATTTAAGCATCTTAATTTGCGATTTAAGCAAATTAAGCATCTATTATGTGTTTTTTTGTCTAGACAAGTGAAGTCTATGCAGTTAGTACATCTTTTTAGGTGGAATCAAAAGAAACCAAGTGCGAAAGAATGGGATTAATAATTTAAAAGTTATTAGGGTTTTATGCATAAAAATACAAATTTGTAATTGAATCTACTAGTTCATTTGTATTTTGTTTTGTTTTGTACTTGTCCTGCAAGGTTCGTAGTCAATAAAATATCTTGACCTTATTTGTTCTGATTTTTAGCTTTTCGTCCTGATTTAATCTATTTTTGAGGATGTTTAAAGAATTTCTAAGAATACAATCGCGGTTCTTAAAACATTCGATTGAAAAAATCAAAAGATGTGAATTTTTGATCCTAAGTGTTTTTTTATTTAAACTGAAAGGCTGATTTGAAAAATAATCTACACTGAATTTGAAAAATGACCTAAATTTTAAAAATAATCTTCTGTAAAAAAAACTTGGAAAGGGAATGTATGGCACAATAAGAAGATACAAGAAAAACCACAACTTGAATTTACTTATATCTAAGCTTTGAGTTATGGGAATTAGTGAATGGTCAGTAAAAGGATCACATTTATTTCAAAAAGCTTCATGGCCTTTTATTGTGATACTCATAACTGTTATTGATATGATAGTTATTGATAACTGTTACTGAACCTATTATTGATATTTTTTAATGTTAATCTGAATATCTTGTGTTTTTATTATAGTAACTATACCACCTCCAGCAGAACCTGATCCCCAGAAACTTGACAGTGAACTTCAGAGGTGCCCTTTGCCAAAGTAAGTTATTTACATTTTTAATTACTGTTCATTCACAAAATAGATTTTAATTTTAGTTATTTTTTATTAAATATATTTTTATTTTTTGGCTCCTGTCCTTAAGTTTCGTCATGTTACATGCTAAATAAATGTGACCGTAAAAATAAAAATACTTAACTCATTATTTGACATTTTACACAAGTTTGATGACATGATTAAAATCCGGATTTAAATTACGTGATTTTTTTTCAATCAATTATTTAAATCACTTGATTCCTTAATAAAAATAAAAAACAACAACATTGATTTAATTTACAAATATTTTTATACAGTATGATTCATAAAATATTCCTATAATTGGGTTTTTAAGAAGTCTAATTTCATTGATATTAAGGATTTTTTTCTAGAGAAAAGATGAGATGGGGTGATGAAAGTTATTATTTGATGTTCAATATAGACTAATAAAAATAAGGAGTTTTAATGAGATTAAAAATGGTGTGGAGTTTTGAAATTAAAATTTTTCCACTAGCTTTATGTAAGACAATTTGATATAAAGTGCTTTTGAAATGTATTGATATTTAGTTTGGGTACATAAATAAGAAGAAAGAAAAAGACTTTTTCTTCCAAAAATAATTTATTGTTTTTAGTGTTTCCTGATCTAAATTATGTATTCTTCATTTGATATCTAACTGATAAATTGGGGCTTAGGGTATTGAGCTTGATTCTAATGTATTCTTCATTTGATATCTAACTGATAAATTGGGTCTTAGAGTATTGACCTTAAATAAAAACAACTTTAATTTTATTTATTCAGTGATTAATTTAACAATAATAAGTTGAACCATCATAAGATCAAAGCATTAAATATTTTTATAATATTACATTTAAATGATGTTAAGCACTTTTAATTATTTTTTTTAAAATCATGATTTACCAACCCTGATGTTATTTTATATCTTTATTAGTATATAATGTGTTACATCTATATTGATTTTTTTTAACTTTTTGTAGCATACCACATTTTTCTGAAAAGGAAGTGAGAGATGCCTTACGTAAAGACATATCATCCCATTGTTGTTATAGCCAAAGGCCTGTTAGAGACATGTGCATCACTGACATAAAGCATTCCATTGCATTTCACGTAAGATTAGTTTTCCTTTTAAAACATTAATTACAAAAATAATTTAGTAAGTACTTTAGGGTTCTCCTTAGGAATAAAAAAGGACAGGATGCTTCCTCACAGAAAAGGGTTCACTTAGAGTTTTAAAAGGACACTCACTTAACACTGTAAAAATTTATCAAATGTGTAATATTGTGTAAAAACTGAATTTGTTCTGCATCAATTTTTAAATTAGCCTCTTACAGTATTTTATGTGTTTATTTCAAAAAGTAATACTCATTATCAAATAAGAGAAAAATTTTTAGTTTATAAAAAATAATTTAATTTTTGTTTATTAAAATAATTAATAAAATAATTAATTTGTAAAATAAAATAATTGATAAAATAAATACTTAATTAACTATTAAAATAATTATTAAAAATTTATTTGTGATTAATAAAATGATTATTAAAACAATTAATTTGTAGTTTATAAAAAATAATAATTAATCACTGTGCACACATTTTTATAAAAAAAAAGTAAATTAAAATTATGTTTGATTGATGTGAACTTGAAAGCGTTTTTCTGCAATTTGAACTGAAAATTATGATACAATAAACATTTTAATCTGCATTTTTTTTAAAAAAAAAAAAAGTATCTAAAAGATATTTTTGAAATTTAAAATCACTTAAAAAATTCACTAATATACCCGTAAAATCTTCTCACTACAACACTGTCTGTGTGTGCCAATTATGAATTGTTTTTATTTATGTTTTACCCAAAATATAAGATCAAAATTGTTTGAGGTCTGGAGGAGTTATTATTCCTTTTATTTTTGATTTTGATTGCCATGTAAAAAAATTTGCTCAAAAATTTTCATGCTATGTTTTTTTTTGGATTAAATTAGAGATACAACTAAATTTTGCCGGAAAGTAACTAGGCCCTATCCTTTATTTAATTTGATGTAAGTGTTTTAAGAATTAATATAAAAATTCCTGTATATAATTTTTTATGTTTTTAATTGTAAGCAGTGTTTATTTAATAATTTTGCAACTTTTCTTACAAGTCATTATTATTAGGTAATTTTGTAATTTAAATATTTGCCTTAGGTTTTTTTTATTTATTTTACATTGCTTGTAATTAAATTTTAAAAAAATCTTCAAGAAATAAAAATTTTTTTTTTCTATGAAAAATTTGTAATCATCCATCTTTATGTTAAATAATTTGTTTAAGCATGTTCTTTTATTAATAAATTTACAAAACTGTATTTAATTCCCTGTAATTCCTGTTTTTGTTATGATGTCACAGTATCTCATGTATTTATAAATACATAGTATTTACTTTTTCAGTATACATTAGAAACATTTACTGAAATCAGGACAACATGTTGGGCTTTTGAACCATATACGGGTAAGAAAAGTCAATAAATTGCATTCATGATAATGATGTCTGTACTTAAAATTTTAAAGCACTGTTGTGTGCTAAATAAAATAAGATTTAATTCCATTTATTAACTTTTCATGTAATCATTTGTGATTATTTATTTTTAATTTCTTCCTTTTCTTTCTCATTACACTTATTCAGGCATATTTGTTTTATTTTATCTAAAATGGAATAATTACTTTTACAGTTAAAATTATTATTACAACTGTATTTAATTGGAATATTAGCTTTAATACTGTTTTTTTATTGCTACATATTTTGTTTTGTTATTGTATACATTAACTGACTCTTATCGTAATTAGTTTTATCTGGGTTTTTAAAAAAAAAATTATTGAAGCTTTAATTAAGAAGTTGAATTAGAGCAGACTTAAGTCACGCACCTATAAGTACAATTTTATAGTATTTTTAGAATTTCATAAGTGAAAGAATATTTAAAATATTTTATAAGGAGCAGACAAATGAAATATTAATTACATGCAAGGGTAGAAGTTAAGAAAGCAGTAACCGCTCTAAATAGAAAATAACTAGTATTACTAGTTTGTGCAAATTTTTACTGGTCCATTTACATGTTTTTATAAGATTTTTTTTAAAAAAAATTAATAAAATTAATTTAAATGAAAAAATTGCAATGCATAGAATGGGTGAGGTTCAAAATAATAATGAAATATGTATTTTTTTTAAAAAAATTTTTTGTGATAAAAACTCAGACCAAAATCAAAAAACCAAAACTGTAAATCATCCCTTTTCATTAATTGCTGGCCTAGAAGACCATTGATAATAATTATTTAATGGTAGGCCGAGTCAAATTTTAGTCCTTGACCGATAGTGCACCATTGAATTTGAGTCCTGATCTATTGAGATCAGGAATTTAATGTATTAGTTAATTGTTATATGTGTATATCTTAATTTATCTTCTCCTTCAATTAAATTAGTTTAATTTGAAACAATTAACTCTGCAATTTGAGATAATTTTGATGTAGATATGTTTTTTTTATTTTTTTAAAAAAAAATTTCATTTTAATCGATACAGTGTAACAAACAGACTTCGTTTGGTCACATTATCTTTTGCAAATGTACCAAAAAAGAATGAAGAAAAAGGTTTAAGCAAATTTAACTTGGAATATATTTTAAGAGCAATTATATCTACTTTCAATGTGTAAATAAGTTTAATATTTTCATATAATGTGTGTAATTTAACAAGGCTATTATAATCTATTAGATTCTACTGATTACAAATTTCTTTCAGGCTATAATGTTAATTATAATTTTTTAAGCTTTAATTATATTTTTTTCAAATTGTTAATGTATAACATAAATAAATATTACATATTTTACAAATTTATTTGTGAATAATACTTATACAAATTTTACTTAATATTTTTTGAAGAAACAATGAAAATTATTTTTTCTAAACACTTTTTAGGTGGAACAATTGCTGGAAGTAATTCAGGATCTGTTCCAGGGCCTTGGGAAATATTAGCGTTTCCACCAACTTATTTCAAAAACCATTCTACTCAATTAGAAGTTCCTCATACTGCATCTTTAAAAACATGCCATGTTTGTGGAGGCGTTGGACGGAAGAGATGTTCCACTTGTTCTGGAAAAGGATCTGTAAGTTTTTTTTCTGTGTTTGTCATAAGAGAATTAAGACTGAAAAAAATGGCCTTTTATATAAGTTTTTTTTATTGTACCTTAAAACCTGTAATCCAGAAGACCTGAAATCCTCAGTTTAGAAACTGCTACACCATAAATTGTTAGATCTAGTCCGGACTAGCCTGGTTAGTAGGGCACTGGGCCCATGCCCAAGAGCTTGTGGGTTCGATCCCCGCATTCTAAAGACTCCCTGTGCAATAAATGGTGACTGATGCACATTAAATCTGTCGAGTCGCGAAGTCCTCCATGTTCTTATAACAAATCATACCTCTGGTGGTTCTGATCCGGGAGCTTCCTTGTCTTCTGGATTGGTTCAAAATTACTAGGCTACACAGTTGAACATTAGTAGTCGTGAACCCAAAAATGGGTCGGCTATTCAACGACAGATACAAAATATATAAAAAATGCTTGAACTAAAGAAAAACAAAAACTGTTTAAGAAATTAAAAGTGACTTGTGTGCTTTAAATAATTTTGTTATTAGATAAAGGATCTGTAAGATTTATTTTGTAAATTGTCATTTGAGAATCAGTCTGATATTGAAAAAAAATGTCCTCTTATTTGTGCTTTCTGTTAATAGTACCTTAAATCCCTCATTCTAGAAGAATTAAAATCTAGAGTATAGAAACTGTTAAGTGTAAATTAGTAGAACTATGAACTAAAAAAAACAAAAACTGTTTAAAAAAATTAAAATTGTCTGATATGTTTAAAATAGTTGCATTATTAAGGAAAAAATATTTATCTGGTAATGAATTTCATCTTTATATTAATTTATTACTACACTTTTTTGTTACAAAGCATATTGAATTTGATGTTATTTTAAGTTCATACCTGAAGTTAAGAAGAATTCCAAAAATTTTAATATTTAAGGACCTGGTGTTCTGGATTGGGGGTGACTAAAATAATTTTATCTGATAAAAAGATTTCTTATTTAAATTAGGGAAGGGGTGGCTTACTATGAAGAGCTCTATTTTAAGTAAAGTGAATATTTCCAATGAGTTTAATCTTTGTATACGATACTTTACACAAAAATAAAGAAGTTTAGATGTATTAGCAGTTGATGCCTATTTAACATATAGTTTACCTTTTTTTTACCTGTGCAATGTAGCAAGAATTTGTTTTCCAGTATTCCTACAAACTTAAACAGCCAATTTTAAATTCAGTTTAGAAAAGATTCGGAGTGTTTTTTATCTAAATGTTATCATGTTAATTCCATTAATTATCATTAATTGAAATCCATGTCAATTATAATAATTATCATGTTAATGTCTATTTCAAGCTTTTGTCTATATAAAAAAATTGTCTATGTTATTTTAATAAAAAACATTCTTTATTACAGATTTGCTTTAGTTTTTAGTTGGTAATTTAATTTAGATTGTTGGGTGAAACTCATAATAATGCATGGACTGATTTGTTGTAATCTGTTTTAAATGTTTTACCAACTAATATTAGCCTGACAATGCTTGTGTCAAATAAACTATTTATTGAATTGTTTTAAAAATATGTCTAATATTTTATTGCAGGCATATTGTTTTTCTTGTCATGGTGCTGGCTACAGGCATATTACTTTGACAACAGGTAGCGAAACAAAGGATTGTTTGCAATGTACTGGCACTGGTCAAAGAAAGTTAGTTATTTTTTGTGTGCTTTTTTTCATAATTTTTTTTTTGTGTGAAACATATAAAATGTGTTAGGTGCAAAGTAAAACAAATTCTGGTTGGCAAGTGGCCATGGCATATAATTAATTTATGGAGCTTTTATATTTGAAGTATTTTTTGTTTTTATTTATTAAACAACTTTTAGACAGAAGATCTCTACTTCTTGAAGCTATGTGTTTAAATAATATTTTCATGCTAAGTAGCTAAATTGAATATAGAAATCATAATATTTTTTACAATATTTCTGAAATTAATAAAAATACATTTAAAAAAAAATTTTTTTTGTGACTTTTTCCAACTGACCTCTAGCAACAAAATAACTTGGGCCGTTATTGGACCAATATTCACAAATCTTGGCTCAAAAATTGTTCAAAGGGACATTATTTTCCGATATTGGCCCTATATAGAATTGTTCGATTCACCTGATATTTTACAGCTACTTCACAACCAATATCAGCCCTATATAGAGATGACAGATTCATCTGATATTTTATATCCATTATTCAATCAATAAAGGCCATATATTGATCTCATATAGGCCAATATTGGCCATATATAGGACCAATATTGAAAAATCTAGCCATCTCAATATCTGTCCTTCTGTGCATGCTCATATAGGTCATTCTGATAGGTCATGCTCATTCTGATCCCAACTGAGGCCAATGTAAAATTGTTGCTAGGGACTCTTGAACTAAGATTCTTCTGTTGAAAGTAAATAAAAGTAAAGCATTCCTGCTATAGCCCTTTGTGGACCAGATGGTCATGGAGGTTAAGTTTCCAGAATTTCGTGACCAAACAGCCAGTTTGAGGCAATGTGGTCAGCATTGTGTACAGGCCGCTTTTACTTCCCTGACAAGTTGGTGCTTATTCACCTGAAGCTGCATGGGCTTTAAGCTGTTGCTGAAAATCGCACCCCATTTCTATCTGTTAAAAAAATTCCCCTCGCATTTAATATTAAAACTTACAATATGAAGCATCCATAAAATAAAAAATTAAAAATCCGTTGTATGCTATGCTAACGAAAATAAAATAAATAAATAAATAATTTTTAAAAGTGTACGAAATGATTTTTGATGTTGCAAAGTAATATTATAACCTATTTGTATTATATTACTGTGTATACATAGAACTCACATGATCTTAACATTTTAAAAATTTCTGAAATTTGATTTTTCGAGAATTTCAATTATAAATAAAAAATCCAAAATATGACATTTTATTGGGATTTAAATACTTTGAATGTTATATTTATTATTTGAATTATGTATTTATCTAATAATTAGAACGTTTTATTTTTTCGAATTGAAATAAAGTTATCTCTCTTTTATCTCTAAAAGTTATCTCTCTTTTTTCATTTTATTAAAGAAACATAATATTTTGTTACAATTTATGTATGAATGTACTTAATATTTTACATTAAATATGCAAACGAAAATGAAACAAATTTCAAATACTATTCTTATGTACCACTAATATAAGCATATTAATATATTTACAAAGCAAACAGTTAAGACATATTAAGATATTTGCATAGTCTGTGCTAAGTGGACAAAAAAAAAATACTATTTTTCTCGTATTTCTTATTTATTGTTAGGTTGATTTATTATCAACTTATAACTGTGAAGAAAATTTCTTAGAAATGATTTGGTTCCTTTAGCACTCTATTAATTATTTATTTTATTATAATTTTTTTAAAAAACTTTTTTGGGTTACGGTCATTGTTTTTTTTTAAAAAGGAAACTAAAGAAAATAGTTGAATTTATTTGCATCTGGGTAACCAAAAATTACTGATAATTTAATGGAAATAATTGAGTTATATTCTCATTGTTTCATATTTTATCATATTATTCATTATATTTATCTATCTCATAATTATCTATGGGATTTAGGTAGTGCACAAATGTTGAAGCTTAAAATCAAAATATTTAAAAAAAGAAAAGAAAAAAGAAGTTAAACATAGACTTAGAAAATGTATTGAATTTATGGAGATAAAATAGATAATTGATTCAATACTACAACATATGTATTTTTTATATATAGTTCCTGAAAAAATTCTGGAAATTTTATCAATATTGATTCTTAATTGGCTAAATTCTATCATTGCTTATAACCTTTATATTTGTAAACTAAATTTAGATTTTTATATATTTTTATTATAGATTAATTATATTATTAAATTGTTTACTATAATTGTGTTAAATGTTTGTTTTTACTTTTATAAATTAAATAGAAATTCAATATAAATGTAAAACTTTGCAATCATTATGATGAACATTGTCGAGATGAAATTACAGACATGAATTAACAGAAACTCATGAAATTACAATGATAAATGAGATGCATCTTTGGTCTATTGCATACTTTGTCTAAATATGTTTTTAAAAGTGAAGTTTCTCTATTCTGAGATGTTAACAGGGTAGTGAAACTTAAAATGGCTGTCAGCTAATTCAAGTTTTACGAAAAAGTTCAAATGTATTTTTAATGATACAAAATTAACTTTTTAATCCATTGTTAATTAATAATCAGTTGAAAATTATCTGATACTTTTCCATTCAGGGAACAGTAATTTCAACTCTTTTTTTATTATTTTATTTATTTATTACAGCTATTGTTTAAAAACAAGTTGAAATTATTTGTACCCTGCTAACAAAAAAGTACTGTTTATTTAATGGAATTAATTGAGTCATGTTCCAATTATTTCATGCAATATCATATTATTCATTATATCTATCTATCTAATCACCTATGGGATATAGAAAGTACACAAACATGGAAGCATAAAATCAAAATATTTAAGAAAAAACATGTTAAACATAGTTTTGGAAATCCAATTCTCAAGTTCTGCTAACAAAAAAGTACTGTTTATTTAATGGAATTAATTGAGTCATGTTCCCATTATTTCATGTTATATCATATTATTCATTATATTTATCTATCTAATCACCTATGAAATATAGAAAGTACACGAACATTAAAACATAAAATCAAAATATTTTTTTAAAAAAATGTTAAACATAGATTTGGAAATTCTCAAGCGTATTCAAATGGCGGAAATAAAAAAGATAATTGATTGTATTTTTTATACATATTTCTGAAATGTTCAGAATTTTTTATAAAAATTCTGAGCATTTTATAAATACTGATTTTTAACTGGCTTAAAATTCTATCTTGATAGCCTTTGTATTTATTAAACATTTTTAAGATTTATTATTTTTTTTTACAAATTAATTATATTTTAAATTGTTTTAAGGTGCTGGAAGTGTTCTGGAGAAGGGATGGCAATGTGCAAAACATGTTCTGGAACAGGACAAATCAAATGTTATCTTCGTGTCACCATAAAGTGGTTTGTATTATTTTGTTTATACTTTTTTATATATAGATAGTACAATAATTTTGGTAGTCATTTTAATGTTAATAGTTGTATTGTGAACAAGAACTAACATGATTTACATAGTATTAATAAGAACTTTTTGACACAGACTATGAAAGTATGTGAACTTGCCTTTAAAAATTCCATAATTAGTTCTCATAAACAAAAATTGTTTTTAGTATGAACAGAATAAACTTTATATCTTTCTCTTTTAAACACATTTTAAAGCAGGACTAACTCTTCCCTTTATCAAGAACGTAAAGTTCATGTACATTATAATAAATTATGCCAATGCTGAGTCATGATGAAGCTGTTTTATTTATTGAAGATCAGAATTGGTGAACAAGAATTCAATATACATGCAGAACTGTGCAATCATCAAGATGAATAATATAGAGATGAAATTACAAACATGAATTTTGCAGCAAACTAACTCGTGAAGTTGCAATGATTAACGGGACATGGACAACATAGTTTAATTAAAAGAAACAGTAGCAAGCAATTAGCATGAATCTATAAGTGACTGGATTTTTTATATCAAATAATAATTCACATAATATCAATGATTTTCTAAGTCTTTGCAAAATTGAACTTTTTCAAGTTTTTCAAATATATAAAAATATATAATTGAACTGTAAGAAATGCCTTAGATTTTAAAATTTTTACTTTCCGTGCATTTGTCCAGAAAGCTCCTTTATAAAAGAAATGATTTTTGTCTTAGAGTGAAAACAGAAGTATGAATTTTGTAGTTTTTGAGTAAACTCATAGATTTTGATTGAATAGTTTCAATATGAGATTTTCATTAAATGAACAAAATATTGCACAATTGAATCTTATTGTCAAACTGCATTTTTAAAAACTGCCTAAATAGAAGACTCTTAATCGATTAGACAGTATTTGATCAAGGCTTTATGTTATTATGTAACTGACTAATTAACTTATGACCACCCTATATAGCTATAGGGGGGCACATAGCTTCCAAAATTGCTAACATANCCAAGATAGTTCTGCAAAAAAGTTCACATGTATTTTTAATGAAGCAAAATTAAATTTTTAATCCATTTTTAATTTATAATTAGTTGAAAATTATCTGATACTTTTCGACTCAGGGAATAGTAATTTCAACTATCTTTTTATTATTTATTTATTTTTTATTTTATTACTTTTTTGGTGACAGCCATTGTTTAAAAGCAAGTTTAAATTATTTGCACCCTGCTAACTAAAAAGTACTGTTTATTTAATGGAATTAATTGAGTTATGTTCCCATTATTTTATGTTTTATATCATATTATTCATTATATTGGAATCACCTGTGGGATATAGAAAGTACACAAACATTAAAGCATAAAATCAAAATATTTTTTTAAAAAAAACATGCTAAACATAGATTTGGAAACATAGTTTGTTAAACATAGAAAACATGTTAAGCATAGATCAATTCTCAAACGTATTCAAATGACGGAAATAAAAAAGATAATTGATTCAATTGATTGTATTTTTTATACATATTTTCTGAAAAATTCTGAAAATTTTATCAATGCTGATTCTTAACTCATTTAAAATTCTGTCTTAAGGTGCTGGAAGTGTTCTGGAGAAGGGATGGCAATGTGCAAAACATGTTCTGGAACAGGCCAAATCAAATGTTATCTTCGTGTCACCATAAAGTGGTTTGTATTATTTTGTTTTTATTTTGTTTATGCTTTTTTATGAACATGACTTACATACTATTAATAATAATTTTTTGAAGCTGACTATGAAAATATGTGAACTTGCTTTTAAGAATTCAATAATTAGTTCTCATAAACAAAAATTGTTTTTAGTATGAACAAAATAAACTTTATACCTTTCTCTTTTAAACTTTGTGACACGTTTTAAAGCAGGATTATCTCTTCCCTTTATCAAGAAGAAAAGTTCATGCAAATGATAATAAATTATGCCAATGCTGATTCATAAAGAAGCTGTTTTATTAATTGAGGATCAAAATTGGTGAACAAGAATTCAATATACATGCAAAACTGTGCAATCATCAAGATGAACGATATGGATATGAAATTACAAACATGAATTTTGCAGCGAACTAACACATGAAATTGCAATGATAAATGTGACATGAACAACATAGTTTAATTAAAAGAAATAGTAGCAAACAATTAGCATGACTCTATAAGTGACTAGATTTTTTATATCAAATAATAATTCACATAATATCAATGATTTTCTAAGTCTTTGCAAAATTGAACTTTTTCAAGTTTTTCAAATATATAAAAATATATAATTGAACTGTAAGAAATGCCTTAGATTTTAAAATTTTTACTTTCCGTGCATTTGTCCAGAAAGCTCATTTATAAAAGAAATGATTTTTGTCTTAGAGTGAAAACAGAAGTATGAATTTTGTAGTTTTTGAGTAAACTCATAGATTTTGATTGAATAGTTTCAATATGAGATTTTCATTAAATGAACAAAATATTGCACAATTGAATCTTATTGTCAAACTGCATTTTTAAAAACTGCCTAAATAGAAGACTCTTAATCGATTAGACAGTATTTGATCAAGGCTTTATGTTATTATGTAACTGACTAATTAACTTATGACCACCCTATATAGCTATAGGGGGGCACATAGCTTCCAAAATTGCTAACATATCCGCTAACAATGCTAGAAACCATGTGCCTTTTTAACAAAGCACTTTATCATTACAATGGATTAAATATGATTGATGTATAAATGGGTTACATAAAACTTTACTTTACTGAATAATTATTGCTTAATAAATATACAGGGTGTCCCAAGATATTTGGGACAAATTTCAAGGGGAGATAGGGGACATTGCAAGGATTCAGTTTTGCATATCAACTTATGGTCGGAAACTTCGTCCTTTTCTGCTAGCTAATGTTGTTCACAAGATGATTTGGGTGTGGTGTACCGGTTCTCTGGCCATCACGTTCTCCTGATTTAAACAGCATGGATTTCTTTCTTTGGAATGCACTAGAAAGTGCTGTGTGCGTAACACCTGAGGATTCCGAAATGGTTCTGGAGATAAGAATCGTCCATGCTTTGCGGTTAACCAATAAAATTCAGGTGTATTTGAGGGAATCTGCCAATCCATGGCCTGACAGTGTAATGCATGCATCGTTAACAATACTAGAGGAAACTCTCAACACATTTCATGAAATTTTCACTTATCATCTACCACAGCACATGATTAGCATGGCACATCATTAGCACATCCTTGATCAATAAATATTTTAGATGATCTCAGTCTCGTGTCTCTTTGTTTGTGGTACCTGTCATACAACTGTCCTATGTTGTTTCCGACCATGGGTTGCTATACAATTCCTAACTCTTTTGATGCTCTCTACCTGTCCTTAAAGTCTGTCCCAATAATCCTGAGACATCCTGTAGATCAAAAGATTTAAAAATACTGTGTTTTTTTAGAAAATGAAATAACCAGATACTTTTTTCTTGCAATCAGATTTTTTCGTTATGTGGCTCTATGCCTAAGCTGATTCACTAAATTGATAACAAGTGCTTATTGCTAAGTTAAGTTTTCTTAGATTAATTTTTAAAAAAAGATAATTTTTTTTTGTCTGATAGTAGACAATATATGTGAGAATGCTTGTACAGTTTGTCTAAAGTAAAACCTCCCCTAGCTATTAACCTGGACCTGTGGTGATGACTATGGTAACGAGGTGTTACTAAGTAGGGTGGTGGGGTGTTTAAGACAGGTTTTGACTCGGGTTGGCTAGAGAAAGGGAATATTTTTCTCTTGTCTATTGTATTAGCCCTACAGTGAAAAAAAGCTACCTTCCCTAAAGTGTGCTATTCTTGTTTCCATAGCAGCAGATGGCCTCAGACTTCGTGACGAGGGGGAGTTATTACTGTAGGCAAACTATATAAAAATGTTAAATTGTTTTAGAATTATTTTTTTTAACTTTTGTGTAGGATGAATCATTTAGATGATCATGTTGTGGAAAAGGTTGCAGCTCTAAGCGGAGATAGGATCCGGACAGCTAGTGGTGACATTGTTTGTCAAGAAGAAGGGAATTCTGTAAGTTATTTTTTAGTGGCTTCTGTAAGTTATTTTTTAGTGGCTTCTGTGAGTTATTTTTTAGTGACTTAGGGAAACCGTAAAAAATTATAATTGTTAAGAAAAATTGCAAAAAATTACAAAATGATGTTTTTTTTTTCCCTTGAAAATGTAATTTTGAAATTTAAACATCAAATAAGATTTTAAAAAAATGTTTTACAGAATTGTGGTTATTAATTTAAAAAAAGTAATTAGATTAACCTTAAATGTTGCTCATTTAAATTAATTTTTGTCTCTAAATTAACCTAATACATATACATTCGTCCACTAAACTATTGACTCTCTAATTTTGTAAAGTTTAAATGTTACTGTAAAACTTTAACATTTTCAAAGATCCCAACATATTTTATTAAAAAGTTCAGATTATTTCCCTTAAACTAAGCATTAATTTGTTTGGCTTAAATAAAGAAAATATATGTGTTTTTAATGGGTAGTTGTTTATTCAAATGCTAATTTATAGAGAAACATTGATTTAAGTTGAGTTCTCTAGGTAACATAATTGAAATACTTTATCATTTTAATAGTTGTGATAAATTATATTTTTCCATATCTGACATTAATCACATTAAGAACTAATTTATCTATTCTATTTAGAATTGCACTTAATGAAGTTAAAATATCTTTGTTTTTAGCAGCCCTAAATTATTTGATAACAGCCTTCATCCAGACAACGAAATTACCAGATAATTATTTAAAAAATTATTATTTCTGAAAAAAAAAGTAATGTGTCTATAATAACATATTGATTAATACATAAAATCTGTGTTAAATTTAAGTAGTTTTGAGACTGCTTTAATTTAGCCTTTGTTTTAAATGCAGCTTTTTTTTATTTTTTATTAAAGTACGCATTCCTCTTCTTGCAGCTATTACCTTTAACACATTTTCCTGACACTACTGTTAACATGGCATCTGTTCAGTTACTACAAAAACATGAATCATCTTTTCCATCTGAAAAAGTATTAAAGCAGGTAAGTTTCACAAAATGTATATTTCTAATAATTTCTTTATTTTTTATATTCTATTTGCTTACTGCATTGTGATGAAGAAAAAATTAACATTAATTTATTTTTCAGCGCCACAGAGTAAGCATCGTTCCCGTGTCATCTGTCAACTATTCTTGGCGTAGACACGAAGGACTTTTTTATGTCTACGGTTATGAAAGGCGAGTTTATGCTCCTGATTACCCACATGTTTGTGCCTGTTGCTGTTGCATTATGTGAAAAGAAGGCTATCACAAGACCTGCTCAAAAAAACATCTTTTTATTTTTATACTGATAAAACACTTCTCATAATTGAACTGAATATAATGTTGGATGTCCAAAATGATATATTTAACTATTTCTTAATTATGCTGCAGATGTATCAATTACTTGGTTGAAATTTAATAATTCTGATTAAATTTATTTTAATTAATCTTTCTGCATTTGCTTTGTGGAAAATTTGTTTGAAATTGTAAAAAAAAAAAAAAACAGTTCACATAACTCTCCNTAGTAACGAGGCTCGAAAAATCTCAAAATTTTTACATGTCCTGCCTGCATGTTATTTTGCAAAATGCATGCCTAAACTTTTAAAAGCCCAAATATCTTTTTCAAGTGTATATTAACAAAGACACTTAAATAAACCTAAATGAATGTAGCTATTCATTTGAAGAAACTGCTTACTTACCAAAAGGACGAAACAGCAAAAGAAAATGTCACAGATTAAAAGAAATCACTTACTCTGATGTTATCAAATTTCATGATTGAAGCGGATGTTATTTTTTCAAGTTTAAATTTCAACTTTTGCATTTATTTTTTTTATGGACAGCTATTTAGATAAAATTTTTTTTTAAATAGAATGAGATGATAAATCAGAATGATAAAGGGAATATAATAAGTTAATTTTGTATTAAAAATTTTCATATTTTATAAAAATTTGAAGGAGAGCTTTTATCCATAATTTCGGGTGTTCTTGGTTAAATATTTACTTGTCTCTTCTATGCCCTACAGGATATAAATGGCATATTTTGAACCCGGATTATTAATACTCATTTCTCAAAAAAATGTTTTTTTTTTTATGAAGGACAAAAAAATTTTTTATTTAGAAGAAATTCATTAACATTTTCTGACTGAAGCATTGTATCAGTATTTGCTTATTTTGTCCTCCAGAGAGGAATAATACATAATATTTGAATTGCCCTTTTGTTCTTCGTTTAATAAATGGAAATTTTGTCATTATAAATTTACTTTGTACCCTCTCATAATTGTTTTTAATTTATATATATTTATTTTATTTTCAATTGACACTTATGTTTCAGTAATGTTATAAAGATCTGATTTTGGTATAGTTTTAACTTCCTTATGTTCATTTACAAAATGTATGTTTTCCTTTATATGTTTCACTTTTTTTTTTTGTTAAAGAAATATGTGAAATGCAAGTACATATTTTTTCTTACTTTACAAATGTTAATCTCCCAAACAAGTATAGCATTAAACAGATTATTATTATTAAATCACTACTATTACTTTGAAAGAAGAGTAAGTTTCTATGGTTAGGAGAATAGGCTACTCAATAGCCAATGGTAAATAGAAAAAGTAAAAAAAGAAAAAAAATGTATGATTTCCTTCTTCTGCTTAGGAAACAAAGATTCTCAAATTAAATTTTTACACAGTTTTCGGTTCATTTTTCCACATCGTTACTGCAAATAATGTTATTTAAAATACTTTTAACAGTTTTTTTTAGTTAGAGGCTCCATTTGTTTACAAATTTGCAGAAATACGTACATTTTTATCATTTTCTGATTTTATAAATAGATTTTTCAAATCATTGCTCATTTTTAAGAGACCTAGTAGAGTTTTGCCTTAAATCGTAATAAGATGTTAGATTTATTAATCTGCCAGAAATTGTTCATTTTAAAACATTATAATTTCCGAAATATAAATATTTATATTTTACTCTCATTTGTTTCAAGTCTTATTCGGATATTATAACCATGTTCAGTGCGAAATTCATACATATGTGAAATACCAAATTTTTTTTAGTCATTATTTCTTATTATATTTATAATTGTATCATTTTTTAAACTATACAGTCAGATACTTCTTTAAGTAGTTTTGTGTTTTTTGCTAGAGGCATAGTTGTGATGGTTTTTTTCGAGATGACCCCAAAATAATATTGTCTAGTTTTAAAAAAAAAGGATTAGTTTGATAATAATGCCCGAGATGAGAAGTTAAATACCTGTAATAATACATAAATAAATTTTTTAATGCATATATTTTGTAAGAAAAAATTTACATGTAATTAAGAAAAGCTTTTGTAAGAAAAGGAAAACGTTTCTTTTTCAAAACTTTGCTTTGATTATACAATGTCCCTTAATTTTTTGAAGTACAATGTTCAATTTAACGTGTCGACAAGATTATACACAATAAGAAACTATTGAAGCTTATAGACAAGGTGCGTAGCATTTTTAAAACGTGTTAAAAGATGCTAATTTTTGATTTACGTTTTTTAAAAGCACTTAATGGTGCTTTTTTTATTCGGGGTCTGTAAAAAGCGCTTAAATTTTCCATCTTTTGAAAAGAGGTTTTTCCTTTGCCGTGTCAATTGTCGTTCTAAACGACAAAAAATGCATAATTTTCACAATTTTCTCTGCAATATTAATTGGAAGATAGTTTTTTTATCATAATTATGCAAAGTTTTTGAAAATGTTTTTGAATTTTATTGATTTTATGTTTATAAATGAAGAACTTTAAACGATAGATAAAAATAAATTTTTATTACTGCACAGATCCTAATTATGATTTTAAATTTTTTTTTTTCGAAAAGTGATTAGAAATATTTTTTGAGTCCGTAAAAGATGCTTTTTTTTGTTGAAATAACTGGTTACGTACCCTGTTAAATCGTAATTATCTATACAAATTTGACTTTAGATTGTAATTGGTAAAAAAGGAAAGACAGGAATGATTGCTTATAGCCAAATCTCTGTTATTCTCAAATTAAGAATTTTCACAATTGTAGAATCTTTATTTGTGAAAAATAGATTCTGGTGTGCAGCAAAAGTTTAATTAATTTTGGATGTGATTCTATTTAAAAATTTTTCATTGTCATTTCTGTATAGGGGATTCAGTCATAACAGTTTTGAGATTTTGACTAAAAAATAATTTTTGGATCAGATTTTCAAAGAAGTTGCTGAGAAAAATTTTAATTTTTAAAAAAATAGTCTCACTTGTTTTGATACCAGTCATTTGTTTTTCAAAATGTCTTATTTATTTTGAAAATTATTTTGTGTTTTTTTATATTTAATTTTTTTAAATAGTTTATTAAATGGAGATAACTTTGACAAATAATTTCTGTATTTTTAAATCTTAAAGATACATATTTCTTGTTTTCCATTACAATGAACTTTTTTATTAAAAATTTGTATTCAACTATTTTTAATTTGCTTATTTTTTAAAATTACACATTTTTGTTTAGTGTCTCAGGGTCTTTGTTTTTTATTTTATGATCTTTTGACTTCAAAAATTCATTGTATGTGTTCCAATAATTTTGTATGAACTGGGTTTCAAACACTTTAAGTTATTTCTTCTATCATCCTGTTTGATGAAACAGATCTAATCGAAGCATAACTAAAGTAAGATTATGAAGTTGGGCGATAAGTAATATATGTGAGATTAAAATAAGTAAATCTGGTAAAAAAAAAATGCTTATTTCTTATACGCATTGCATTTATTAATTTGTTTAGTGTTAGTTAATACAATAAAATATTGCTTATTGTATACCGGTGCTACAACTCTTATTATCATTTTTTTATTTCATAAGATAAAAAAGTAAAGAAACAGATTAGAAAAGCGTAAATTAAATTTTAATTGTGATTAAGTGACCAGTTCTGTTTGTTTCAATTTCTGTTTTGTGTGCTGCTTTTATGTTGTAGGTGCCAAACTTTTCATTCTTTTGATAGTGATCGCTCAAAAATCAAGACTGAAGTTGCTATGCATATTTATTTTGTTTCTTTTCTATTTTAAGTAACAAGTTTTTGTTGTTAGTTTTTTTGTGTTACTTTTTTTAAATGTAGATAAAAAAATATTTTCCTTGATGCTAAAAAGTGATTAAATGTTTTATTAAATGACATTAATCTGAGTTTAAAAGTAGATTTATAGTTTTCTATACTATACCTAAAAGTATATTCATTAAAGTTTAAGCATGTAAAATGTATCTCTTCTACAATCACTTACATGAGTTTAAAATTAAAGAGAGAAATGTAAATACAACTTTTGCTGCCATTTTTTGATGTCATACATTTTTGTAGTTTCATTTACAATCTCAGTCACAATTGAAGAGCTTAGTTAAAGAGAACGTCTGGTGGGATTTTAAAAATAATAAAAACTTACCGTCAATGACGCCCACAAAATATTTTAGGAGGTGCAACCATAAAAAATAAAGTTATAATAGCATTTTAAAAAATTATGGATTAATAATTTTTTTTTGTCTATTTTGGAAAAATATTTTTACATGAACCCACTAGAAATTTTTTAAGCACTTTCAATAATTTAATTTACATTCTAAAAGCAACGAAATTTGATATTTGTTGCTTTTGAAAAATTCAAAAATTTAAATTCAAGAATTTTCTTGAAAAATTTAAATTTTTAACAACCACCTTAAATCACAAAAAAATGAGTAAAAATTGTCTTTATTTAAAGTTATTAAATTAAATACACAAAAGTAAAAATAATAAATTCTATAACTTTTCAGTAATTTTTTTAATTCTATCTGCAAATCAGCAAAGAATTATATTAATTATAGTATTAAATTTAAACAATTTGTTAAAAAAAAATGAAAGCACTATTTGCACTCCACATGAATCTAAGTTGTTTCAACATAACGAATGTTACTTTGAATTATTTATGATAAAAAAATATTATTAAAATGCAAAATATAATGTTCAATTTATCGGATTTTTTTTTTTTTTTTTTTTTTTTTTTTTTTNTTTTTTTTTTTTTTTTTTTAATTTCAATCTCGTGGGCGACCATGTTTTGATCTGCTCTGTATCTTTAGAACATTAATTTATTCTGTAAAGTTCTTGAATAAGGCTGCTTTCAGTTTATAAAGACTTGTATATTATGTTCCTATATATTGTACAGAGTGTTACAATTAAAGTTATCCTGTTTAACCAACATAGCTTTCCTTTTCGATAGACAGGATGAAACTTGATTTTATAAGTTATATGGACCATGGGAAGAGATATCTGATATTAATAATAACATAAAAATTTAGTTCAAATTTGGTGCACCAGTTGAGAAAAAGAAGAATCACGAACTGGATATATGAATCGTTATTTACTAATCCCATATGTGTAATTAATTTTTATCAAGCTTGCGTCGTAGTATGTTCAAAACGTGTTCAATCACGTAGCCCAAAAAGTTTCTTTATTAATTGCAACATGGCGCGTTATCCAAGTT